TGTCTGAGCCAGAAAAGGAATGTATTTATTTATTATTAGATTTATATCCCCCCTTTTGTACAGGAGTTCAAGGTAGCATTTATATGCTCCCTCCTAATTGTCCCCACAACAGCAACCCTGTGAGGCAGGTAGGGCTGAGCTTCTGTGGCTTTAAAGCTCTTTTGTTTTCCTTGCCAGAGTGTACCTCTTACTGGTTTTTATCATATAGGCAAATGATGACATTTAATTCTATATGGGAATGTAAAGCACTACATCCCCTTATCATGCTTGGTAAAAGAAGATGAAACCTGTTTTTAATGAGACAAAGTGTGGCCCATCGCTCTCTGCATGTCTCCTAGGAGACAGGATCCCAGGACTGCATCTCAAGACCCCAGTCCATCATAATGCCAGCATCTGGCTTTTTTGAGACAATACAATTATTGGGTTCTTTGTGTAATCTGAGCTTGGTTGTTTTCCTGAAGTAACATCAAACAATAACCTAATCAAGGAAGAAAGCATACTCCCCAACCAAGACTGTCAAGGTAAGCTAATATATATAAACAATCAACAAACTTCGCTCTCCCACGTCCTGATGATGTTACCTGATGATGTTCTGGTAACAAAACATCTGCAGGAAAACAACCAAGCTCAGAGAAGATCAAAAACTCAACTGTTTGACCTTGAGCTACATATATTTTCTACTATTGGAGCAATGCAATTAAACTGGTTACTGAATTAACTCATTTTCTGAATTTACCCATTGCTTTTGAATGTAAGAGATATTAAAACTGATTTAATACTGTACAGTTATTCTGAGTAATATGATAGCAGGTGGTAATACGTAGACAGCCTTGCATGTTTTGAAAAAGCAAAACAAGATCAGAGTTAGTTAATACTTGGACTGGAGATCACCAAGAAAACCCAGGGTTGTAGGCTAGGCTGGGGAGTTTTAAAAAAATCCCCCAAAGTGCCAATGGAAAACACTTCCATATTGTTGCTACAAAAGTGTATGGCTGTGTCCATGTAATCACCAAAAGTCAAGTTTGATTGGCAAATGCCTTTATAGTTAACAGATGCAAACACTACCTACCACATAGGAGACTGGTTCAAACCAAAAGCTAGTCCCATTATCAGAGTAAGTTCTGATTAAGGTCATAAGACCCCGTTATCTATATGGAAATCAGGACTGGCTATGTTATAGCCTAGATCTGCTATCTCCCTGACCCTGCGTTTAAAGATACAAGGATATGTTTAAAAGATTTCACTCACCAACCTACTCCTTTCTGGCAATCTAGGAAGAATAAACCAACTAGAGTCACAAGTTCACACTGATAGGAATCAAATGCATTCTTTAAGAAACAGTTCAAGTCATCTGGAAGAGGGAGGGGCTGACAAGATCCACTAAAAAGCAGGGTAAGTGACCTTACACTCAGCCCTAAATGTAATAAATAATGTTAACACTGAAATCTCCAATAATGATGCTCATGAAAGCCAATAGGACCAAGGATACCTCTCAGCATCTCCCAGGCTCGTGTGAAAGTTAATATTCATATATAAACAAATATTGTAAAAACTAGAAGCTGGAATGCTGCAGAGGGAGTCCAAGATTATTCCAAGACTATTTTTGTTTTTAAAAATCCATGAATGCCTCTAGCATTCAAATAGAGCCCATAAGTTTTCTTTAAAAAATTAAAATGGGCAGGAATGATGGCAGCCCAGTGCTTGCTTTGGAAGTGAATTAAAATTCCTAGGCAGGAAGACAAGGTAAGTAGTAATTATAAGAAGTATCCTGGAGGGAGGCTGGAAAAAATGGTAGGGAACATGATTGTCCATTAATGCTTTATGACTAGTTTGACCTACTGCAATTGTTTTGTGAATGGGCAAGTCCTTCCTTCACATCAGCCAGTTTGGAAGAGGGCCCGCAATATGCTTTCAAAATTCCAAAGGTGCCTAGGGCTCCAAAGAGTTGGGGATCCCTGCTATAACTCAATCTTCAGCCACAAGAAGGAAGGAAGAAGGGCACTGTTGATAGCTGAAATAGTCACTATTCAAGTGAGCTGGAAGGGAAGCTCAATCCAGCATGAACAGCATGAATATGCTTGCATGTTGTTCACACTTCTTTCTGGCCTGGAGGAACTTTCTCATTTAATTCCACCCCCAATCCCTTATCTGTCTTCTCTTTTTAGATTCTAATCCAGAGGGCAAGATGTGTGTTTTTAATATTGATGTGAGCCATTTTAAGATACAAGATTTGTCTAAAAACAGGGATAAAAATGCAGTAAAGAAATCCATAAAATTAAAAGCCTGTAATGAAGGCTTCTAAAATTAGGTTCTCAGGGCCCAACCATCTTCCAAAGTTCAGCTTCAGGCCTTTAGACATTATGTTGAATATTTTTTTAAAAAAATCATGAATCACTAGTCAATGAGAGATTCTGTTTCTCAGGTGGGCAGGGCTTTCTCTTAGCCAGTGCTTATGCTTTGTACCCTCTTTAGACACTGCCATCAGATGGAGAGCTGCTTGCATCCCAAGGCAGCAAGTCTGAAAAGATCTCTCCTAAGGGACTATTTGTTCCTCCTCTCCCCTCAGCTTCTTCACAGTTTCCAGGACAAAGTTACAGCTTGTAGTCTTCCAGTGTGTGAGCTCTAAGTCTTTCTCGGAAGATGGCTCTTCCAGATAGAACATGACAATAGTGTTATATCTAAATCATTAAAGCCCTTGGCCAAAGCATATCTTTTTAGTTGCTCCCTTGGGTATTTCCTTAAAAGCTGAACCCAAACAATTTTTTTCTGAATTCTTTCTATAGGATATATGCCTTTACAATCTCATACCTGTGAATTGCATTTGATTTATTGAGTATAGTTGTTTTTCTAAAAGTTCCAACCTCTTTTATTATCTGCACAGGATTATTTTTTGCAAAGTTCCACTAGCTCTATTCGTGACAATAGCCAACTGCTGAGGTATGGGTAAAACAGAGGCCTCTGTCCTCTTAGGAATGCTAAGCAGTGCCACTACTGTGAACACTGGAAACACGTAGGAGGCAACTGAAAGATTGAAGGACTAGATTTTGAACTCTGTTTCCCCTCCTCCCACTTGAACATAGAAAGGCTTTTGCATGTAGGTCTACAACTGCCAACGTGCATACAATTGGAAGGTCTATGGACCAAAAGTCCAAATCCAAAATTCCTTCCTAAGATACAAAATGAACATTTTATTTTTCATATCTGTGCATTTCCACAAATAGCATTATCACTAACACCACAGCCAACATCACCATTGTAATAGTAATAATAAAAGAATTGCACAATCCAAAGCAAATGCAATGTAAGATGTTCAATGGCTCAGGGATGCTTTGAATTCATTTTTAATTCAGCACCATGGCCAGTTCTGTGCCAGAATGGTCAGCTGTTGACACTCAAGCACCCAGGGCCATACCTCTTCAGTCTGCATGGTCCACCATGCTTGCCCGCATCATCTTTCACTGTAAATGGCTGGCAATCAGACACATTCAAGATAAACTCTGAGCTTATTTTATTCTTTTACAAAATTCAGCATATGAGTATTGTGCTCAAGGTTTTAAACCCCTCCCACCCACTTTTTTTTCTCAAACCACTATTTAAAATTCGATGCTCACTGAGCTTTTAAACAGATCCCCTGTGGCAGACTAGGAAGAAAGGAAGGAAGGAGGAGTCATTTACAGTGGTTGGCATTCCAGAATGCCATGAAACAGGAAGTTCTCCCTCTGTTTAGTCAACCTGTTGGTTCATCTTCTCAAAGGAAAGGAAAGCCACCATTTTGACAGAAAGCATATAGACTACAGCAGAATATTAGGTGGAAAGTTCTTATCATGCATGGTCAAGGTATGGTGAAATTTGCTGGTTTACCTGAAGGCCTGATAAAAGGGCAATTCATATGATTGCATTTTTCCTTTCCTCTTTTCACTGGAAGAATGTTAAAAGCCATGGGATGACCAGATTTCAATGAGCAACAGGCTTATTCTCCCAGCAGATCAAGCATGAAATAGAGAAGCCAGTAGAGTAAGATTCAATCTAAGCCTCTTAACATTCTAAGCCTTTTCAAATTCATGTTTGGAGTAATATTTAAAGTGATAATCCATCACCAGTAGATACTTAAAATATCCAAGAGCGAGAGAGAGAGTGCGCGCGTGTGTGTATGTATTTTAAAAAAGAACAGATGCCACTTGCCTACGTCTTTGCAGTATATTATGGCTGTAATCTGGGCTTCCTCATACAAGGTAGAGGTCTGGTAGCATCACAGGTCACAGTGGAAGATCAGGGTAGCCCCACCTATTGAGGGGGCAAACTAGATTAACTGCAAACTATAGCACAAAGGCAGAAGGGCTCCTGTTGCAACTCAAAACTGATGCCTGAAAGAATTAGGTAAGCATGCATTGCTCAGCCTGGAAGATCAAATGAGTCACATGTTTACCAGGAAGTCATTTTCTGAGCAAGTAGAAAGTCAGAATAAGACCATCAACACAGCTATCCCCCAAAAGGCTTCTGTTTAAATTGAATATACCAAACAATGGCCTGTATACACTTAGGTCTGAATGAGCATGCAAACCTAAATGTATGAAAGAGAGGTCACCACAGGACAGTCAAACTCAGCTTAAACCAAGCTTGATTGATGAAATATTTCCAACTTGCCCTTCCTTTTGCCTTTTCTTCAGTGGCTGTTCAGCTACCTATGCATTCAGTAGTATCACTGAATAATAACTGCAGTCTAAATGTGGGACAAGGACCACATAAGGAATATCCACTTCAATGGGGAATGGTTAGCACTATGAAGACATGATTCTGTTACTATATCAAGGACAGGTCTGTGTTATACTCATGCAAAAGACAGAGTATATAATTAAGTAAGATTGGCCATTCCTTAAGTCCATTATAGCAGGGTTCCTCAACCTTGGCAACTTTAAGACAGGTGGACTTCAACTCCCAGAATTCCCCAGCCAGCCTTGTTGGCTGGGGAATTCTGGAAGTTGAAGTCCACCCATCTTAAAGTTGCCAAGGTTGAGGAAGTCCACCCATCTTAAAGTTGCCAAGGTTGAGGAACCCTGCATTATAGGACTGATAACTCTGAACATTTGTAATTTACAGTATATGTTAAAAGGGGAAATAAGGAGGTGGTTAGTTAACATTGCCTAAATATGATAACATTCAACATAGCTAAGCTACCAATAAGCGGTGCAACTCTATGAATGCTGTGGTATTACCAAATGGTCCATGGTGGAGAAGCACCTAGAAATTATATTCCTTCCCAGACATTTGTTACAGGAGCGCCAACTTTTTATAGGTGCTATAGGAATATGGGTAATTTATTATGATCTTTCCACAAATAAAAAAGAAAAGATTCAAACAGGGTGAGGGGTTGGAAATGAGAGTAATTATTACACCCATTTTTTAGTTGCTCAAAACTTTTACTGGTGGCTTAGCTTGTGAAAGGGTGTACTGGAATGGACGTCTTTGAAAATTAGCATCTTTGGGGAACAAAAGTCTAGGCAGAAAAAATGTAATAGAAAGGTAGCAACAAATGGCAGTTTACACATACGTTGAGACTCACGCACATACACACACATACACACACACGCACACTGCCAACAAGAAGTCTCCAGGATATTTTGACAACAGTTATGAATGAAGTGAAAGTGACAAAGGGAGATGAAGAGGTAAGGGGCTATGAAACTAGGCCACAGAGACCTTTTGAGTTCACGCCTGTGTCCTCAGAATTGATCACATTTCATTAGCAAGCCAAAACCGTCTTTTTGTCTTGAACACAACAGGCCCTGAGACCAAATAGGAGGAAGGCGGGGGAAGGATATATCTGTACATGCAGTGGATTATGGCAGGTCCACTAGGAGGCCTCATCCAAAGGATATTAACAAACATACCACTCTTTTCTATACTCCAGATCAGCCTCCTTGCAAACACATCTGCTTCTTTTAACATGCTGTTCTATTGGCACTGCTCTCACAAGCAATGTAGTTCTCCATATTTTATAGCTGTATTCACATGACACGCTGAAATACAAACTAGCAATCAACCACAGTTTAGCTTCCCGTGTGTCCAATCTCAGCTTGTGCAGTTAGTCTGTGTTTCAGTATGTCATGCAAACCCAGAAAATTGGGTCAATTGAATAAACCATGGTCCAGTTAACCATGAGTAAGCTTGGCCTGAAAACAGAATCGATAAATAATCTGTCAGTCAAGACCTCTGATCTGAACCAAAACTTCCAAGGCCAGGGGGACAGAGGAACAGAGCTTTGTTAATGGCAGATAAAGCAGCATCAGGATTTGGGAGGGAAAGGTGGAAAGGGGACTCCAGCTATCTTTCCTCAGAGGCGGCGGCAGCAGCAGCAGCAGTGTGCCACTGGGAGCACAGACAGATTGGGAAGTCACCGTGGCATTGCGAGATAATCCATCAGCAGGCACGCAGGACAGGCGGCGTTCTGAAAGGACCCTGCTTTTCAATGGGGTCAGTGAGAGGGAAAAGAAGGAAAAAGCTTGACAGCAGCAATTAGCTCCTTAGAGCTACCAAGGGAAACGGATGAGGTCTGGGATTTTTTGGTGGAGGGAATTTGTAATTTCCTCTGTGAAATCCCAAGCAGATCTAAAGCACAGTAGACCAAACAGCAAGCAGTTAGAAGCCTCTGGTGGCCAAATCCAACTACATAACTTGAACACTGAGGAATACAGGAATTTCTTAGGTCTCTGCTTCCCTCCAAGCAACATTAGGGCCGGGAACAAAAGGAAATCAAATAATCCCTCCCTCCCTCCCTCCCCAAAAAGCCTTAAAAGGCATATCTAAAACACTTCCATTTTAAATAATAATTAATATTTTTAAAACCCCAGTTATGCCCTTGGCGAAACAACTTACTGGGGATCTAAAGAAAGTCTTTTATTTTTTTCTGAATAAGTGACACAAAGCCATCTCTGTCAATGGAGCCCTGTGCCATACAGTTCCGGTGGGGCTTGTGTCCCAGTTTAAACAGGAAGGGGCATCTGTCCCAGGAAAGAGGGTTCATTGACCTTTCTGCCTTGTCCACAGGCCAGTTCCAGACATCCACAGTTGCATCTTCTGTTCAGATGAATTTGAAACATTTTGTCTTGTCATGTGGTAACCGGGTCTTGAAAAGGACCGAGTCAACACGGAACTGGGTATACAACAAGGGCATGTAGCCATAGACTTTGACAAAGAAGTTGATGCATTTGTGCCGCTCGTGGAAATGGGAGTCATCATGAGAGAGCGCCTGAGGGCAACCAGGGCAACGGAAAGTCCAGCGGGAAGTCACCTGGGCACAAGAGAGCAGGAAAGACGATCAGCCAGGGAAAGGGAGAGGAGAAGCCTCTCGACGTGGTGGTAGAGCACACCAAGCAGCAGTTAACAAGATGAGTCATAGTCTTAAAGGTCTGTGCTGAGACATATGAGTTCAAATAGGGTCTATACCTATAATACATCCAGTACTGATGCTGTCTTCCTATTCTACCTTTCTGATATTTCTTTCACTGCTGAAATGGTTGGGCATAAAGACCACTCATGAGCATGAAACTGAGCAAACTCAGGGAGGCAGTGAAGGACAGGAAGGCCTGGTGCGATATGATTCATGGGGTCACAAAGAGTCGGACATGACTTAATGAGTGAACAACCACAAATAAAGACCACTCAAGGCTTATGATGTCTGCCCAGTGGATTCAAATGTTAAATGTCTTGGAAGAGGAATGTGGCTTCTGTTTCCCAGGTTGTGACAAGTTCCTTTCTCAACTGACAGCCTTTATCTCTACAGATCAGGTGTTGGTGGAGAATAGGACTCATCCATTCCCTCCATTTCTTATTCCGAGCCGAACCCATGGAGCTTTATATTTGAGGTAAATGTGACACAAAGTTGGGGAAAAAGAACTGTAGGAAAAACAGCAGAGGATTCAGCAAGACAAGGGTCTAAAAAACACTAATGCATTCTCTTAAAAAGGTGAGGGACTAAAAAGTCTGGAAATTTTTTTTTACTTTTTGGAAAGCTTCAGTTCTGAGTGGCTTCCCTTTCCCTGAAGTATCCCTGTCTGATGTCAGGGCTGCTGCAGGATTAGGCCCTCTAAGAAAATGAGCAGTGATGGGAAGAGAAATGCAAAGAGGAGAAATGCATAAAAGAGAGAGACCTTCTTGCATATCAAGGATTGGGGGAAAGTCTAAAGTCTGCAGCTTCTTCATAGCTAAACACAAAAGACATAAAATCTGAATAGCTATGGGGAAATTGCCCTACTTTTCCAGAAAGTGTCTTCTTCTTTTGGATTCTGGACAGCTCTAGGGGATAAATAAAAATTAATGCGCACTCCCATAATTCTACTGTATGGACTTGCAGTGTTTACCAACCTCCCCCCCCCGCCCACACAGGTAAGTTATACGACACCAGTGTTGTCCAAACTTGGCCACTTTAAGGTGAGTGGACTTCAACTCCCAGAATTCCCCAGCCAGCCATGCTGG